ATGGTTCCAATATATAACTTTGTTTGTCTGTTGATATTTCTATCATTCTATAGATGTGATAGTTCCAATATATAACTTTGTTTGTCTGCTGATATTTCTATGATTCTATAGATGTGATGGTTCCAATATATAACTTTGTTTGTCTGTTGATATTTCTATCAGTCTATAGACGTGATGGTTCCAATATATAACTTTGTTTGTCTGTTGATATTTCTATCATTTTATACAATCAGTCTATAGACGTGATGGTTCCAATATATAACTTTGTTTGTCTGTTGATATTTCTATCATTCTATAGATGTTGGATCTCGGAGATAATTGTTTTTCTCTATTCATGTTTCTATCATTCTATAGAGATGTTAGATCTCGGGGATAACTGTTTTTGTCTGTTAATTTTCTTTCATTCTAATAAGATGTTGGTTCTCGGAGATAACTGTGTCGACTGTTGATCATGCCGTAGATAGATTCCTTTGACGGTCTTATTTTCATTTAATATTTTTGCACTTTGTAATTGACAGCTGATTCGACGGGTGATGAGTCCGTTTATACGGTATACGAAGGCCATGAAATCATGATTCACGCATCCACATTATTACCACATTCCAAGGAGAACAAACAGCAGGCAAGTATATAGAGGACAGTTTGACATCTTAGCATGCTGCATTTCCTAGATAAAAATAGTTTTTATCACTCTTCATTACCATAAGGAACTCGTTACTTTTCACTCATCGGGATACATACGTGAACTCAAGCGAAGACTATATTAAGATGTTAACGTGTTCAACGTGTGCTCCTTTACATTATCGTATATATCTGTTCGATTTCATAAACGTCATAACTTGAAAGCGTTTCATGTGAGTTGAAAATAAAAATGCGTTTATCGAATATATATCTAAGCGTATTTGAGGGAATACTTTTACGACATCCCTCTGTTCTATGAAATGTACAATTTGTATGCCTAGCAAGACTGATATTTCATCAACAAGAATATTAAGGGCTCTCAAACTGAATAACATTACTACTTGTTTATACCATATATGCATGACGTGTGTATATATTGAGATTGCTTCGTGATTCTAAAAGGTTTAATTTTAAAAATTATAGCACACCGTATCGATATAAACAGGTTGACGAAGACTATGAACGAGTGTTATGGTGACCATGCTCTCATTAGGAAATGTACTATTTCATTGTATGATGTGAAGGTCGATGGTTTTGATTGTGCTCATAAATTTCCCTTGTGGTTTTGTTGTCATTACTGGAACTCTCGATGTGAGGACGTGACATAACTTGGAGTTGACCTAGATTTATATGGCGAATGTCGTCGATTAGGCAGAGAACGCTTTCCCTTCGTGTACACATGGTCTTATTCTCCTTGTTCCTTTTCAAATGTCTCCGTGTAAATATTTCCATTGTTCATATGTTGTCCAAGTTGTATCGGATTTGAGTTCGAATTATCGATTAACACTTTGGTATTCTTTTATCCTTTATGTGACGGTATATAGAATAAGAATTCGAATACAAAATCTATATTTGTGAAGACCAGGACATTATACTTTTCGGCCAGTTACAATATCTATATTTGTGAGGACCATGACATTATACGTTTCGGCCAGTTACAATATCTATATTTGTTAGGACCATGACATTATACGTTTCGGCCAGTTACAATATCTATATTTGTTAGGACCATGACATTATACGTTTCGGCCAATTACAATATCTATATTTGTGAGGACCATGACATTATACGTTTCGGCCAGTTACAATATCTATATTTGTGGGGATCATGACATTATACGTTTCGGCCAGTTACAATATCTATATGTGTGAGGATCATGACATTATACGTTTCGGCCAGTTACAATATCTAGAAATGATGCACTGTTAAAATGTTGTTGAAGTCAGTTGCTTTCTTCTGTTTTGTAGGTGGAAAGGAAGCGTCACATTGGAAACGATATTGTAAATATTATATTTTATGAATGTGACTTGAACTCATCTGCAAGTTTTAAACCATCGATGATGAAAACACGCTTCACACGTATCCTTTGTTGCTGCAGGAAAGCATATTCTCTTTCTTTGTAGAATTTTATCATTCAATTTTACAAATACCCCTGTTGTCTTTGTCACAAGACATCACTTAAATTCCTATGGAAGGGTGTAATTATCCTTAGTATCTATCTGTCACCAGACATACCATACCTTAGATTCCTTTGGGAATTTATGTAATCATAAGTTGGATTTCATAGGAGGGGTGTATACTTCCATGTTTTTTTTCTGTCATAATATATAAGTAAGCTATCTAGAGAAGGATTGCATCAGTGTTGTCCTTTCGATTTAAAACAAAAGTTGTGATCAAAGATACTCTAAATTAACATAGAGGGAGTATACTTGTCTCAGACTTGTAAAATACATTTTTGTTTTACTATTTAGCTGCATACATGTATGCCAATATTGGTCCCCTTAACACCATTATCAGACATACATGTATGCCAGTATTGGTCCCCTTAACACAATTATCAGACATGTATGCCGGCATTGGTCCCCTTAACACCATTATCAGACATACATGTATGCCAGTATTGGTCCCCTTAACACCATTATCAGACATGTATGCCGGTATGGTCCCCTCAACACCATTATCAGACATGTATGCCAGTATTGGTCCCCTTAACACCATTATCAGACATATTTGCGTTAGTGACCCACATAAAAGAAGATGATACCTATCGGTAAGTTGTCAGGTGCTAATGCATTATGTTGACGATTTTTCATTTCTGTACGTAACGCACAAAACATTCTGCTTAACAGTTGAGTTTTATTTTTTGTTTTTGGAAGACAGCTACTGCGCGATAGTACGCGGTACTATTTTTGTGTAAATATACATGTAACAAGTAGCTTCCTAAAAAAACGGAAGCAATCATGGACAAAGTGTTGTTTATTTTCTGGGCCTATTTGATTTAGTGGGGTAATACCTTAACAACAGACATTTAAAAACAGTAATTCTCTTCATCCATTTAATATGCATACACCAACCGCACATATTCATATAGAGTTGTTATAAGTCTTTTAATATCTGACTAGGGAGTGCTGAATGCAAAAGTATCTAGACTGAGATTGAAATTGAGTATTTAGAAAATAAGAACAATGACAATGCTCCTATAACACAATTTAGCAAAAGTCTTACGATTTATGACACATATGATCTCGATTTGTAGACTAGTATGTTAATGATAAACAAACACAATCTTCAGGATATAATTTTGTATGCCAAATAACTATGTCACAGATAAGTATGACCTTACGTCTCCAGAAACAGGTACCTATATGTTCTGACTGCCTTATAACTGCATGACATATTCCAAAGAAAAAATGCACACTCCAATCATACAATGTATGTCCAGACAAAAGGAAAATAATGGAAAAACAAGATTTAAACCTAAATTCAATTCATGCTTACCGCCTACACCTCAAGATACACCTCATTATGAGATACAAGACCATTGCTCAACTTACACGATGTAAAGAATAAACAATATGCAGATATACTAATTTTACCCGGAGAACACAACAACAGAATAAATTGTTTTGCCTTAACCACAAAGTGTTGATAACAAACATCATACAGATTTAGAGCTTCAAACAAAATGTGTACAGTACAAACAAAGACTAGGTGGTAAGTGACCCGAGCTTTACTATTTCAGGCTACACGTGTACTCTGAGGAGTCTGTACCATTGTTCGGACCACCATTGCCAACACCACCCTAACCCTAACCCTAACCCTAACAAAGAAACGGTGGTAAGTGACCCGAGCTTTACTATTTCAGGCTACACGTGTACTCTGAGGAGTCTGTACCATTGTTCGGACCACCATTGCCAACACCACCCTAACCCTAACCCTAACCCTAACAAAGAAACGGTGGTAAGTGACCCGAGCTTTACTATTTCAGGCTACACGTGTACTCTGAGGAGT